GATCTTAGAGCTGCTGAAAGAAAATAACAAAAAACCAAAGACCCAATGCACCTATCCTCTTCTCAAGAAGCATCACTGCTGCCAAAACTGCATTCTAATAACAGAATTAGCAGTGCCACTGACTCAGGAAATTATTTTCCACTTTTAAAGCACTACTAAATCCTCCACCACCACACAAACTTGTCCGCTGATACCTTTGCTGCCTTCTTCACAGGCAAAGTGGCAGCTATAACTAGCCAGTTCTCTAAAACACTCAAAATCAACAATCTATTACCGCTGTGGTCAGCTCCCACTGTGTGAGCGCGGCACAAGAAAACCTACCATGTAGCGTCCTTATACATGTCTCTCCATCTCCCTTGGAAATGGCCAAAAGGCTCAACACCAAGGCTAACATGTAGCAGCCCAGACTAAGTCTGTTCCTCTGTCATCATCGTTTACTCCTCTCATGGAGAGCGAAATATCAGAACTCCTGCCCTACCTGTCCTACTACATGCCCACTGGACCGATTCCTACGAATTCCTCCAAGTCATATCTCCAACCGTGGTCCCGGCAATCACTCATATGATAAATACTCTCTAGCTTCGGGAAAATTCCCGACCACTTTCAAAAGGGCTCAGGTTAAACCCTTGCTCAAGAAGCCCTCCCTTGACCCAACTCAAGCTGAGAACTACCGGCCAGTTTCACTTCTACCATTTTTATCCACAGCTATCAAATGGGCAGTCTTCAAACAGGTCTCAGAATTCCTCTCACAGAATGACCTAGATCCAGATCAGTCTGGTTTTAAGAGTGGTCAGCTAAAGCTAAGGTCAGCTAAAGCTGCAGCCCAATTCCGCTTCTCATCCTGCTGGACCTATCAGCTGCCTTTGACACAGTCAATTACATGATCCTGCTATCCACACTTCAGCAATGGGCATCTCAGGCAAAGCACTCATGTGGTTCGAATCCTACCTTTCGGAGCATTCCAACAATGTTTTGTGGCAAGGAAAATGATCTCCTCCATGTCTCTCCAAAGGGGTGCCCCAAGGCTTAGTGCTATGGCCCCTCTTCTCAGTTTACAGCACCTTACTGGGGCCCATCATTCGCACATGGCTTCTCTTACCACTTCTATGCTGACGACACGCAGCTCTACCTATCCTTCCTGCCGACGACCCCAGCATCTCGGCACGGATCTCAGACTGTCTCTCGGACATATCTGCATGGATGAAAGCTTGCCACCTTCAACTAAACCTTTAAGATAAAAACTCTTGGTCATTCCAGCCAGGCAATCTATCCACCACACCATCACACTATAAATTGACTGCTCAACTATCACCCAACGAGGGTGGTGAGAAACTTGGGTGTCATGATTGATGACCAGCTTTCCTTTTCAGACTATGTTGCTGCTGTCTCTCGGTCATGCCGCTTTGCTCTATACAACATAAGGAAAATCAGGCCCTACCTCACTTAGTATGCTACCCAGTTTCTGATACAGGCCATGGTTATCTCTCGCCTTGACTATTGCAATGCCCTTCTAGTAGGTCTTCTAGCCTGTGTGGTAAAACCCCCACAAATGGATCAGAATGTAGCAGCGCATCTTGGTTTTGATCAGCCCAAAAGGCAAATGTCACTCCATTACTGAGTGACCTCCACTGGCTACCCATGGCCAAATTCAAGTCACTAATGCTTGCATACAGAGCTACTACTGGGTCTGCACTTATCTACCAAAACTCCATAATACAAGTTACGTTCCTTCTCGATCACTACGCTCCTCCAACGAATGCTGTCGGCTTTGCCATCCTACACAGAATGCAATCTCCGTCCCGGCTGTCCTCATCCGTGACACCACGATGAACTTCAAGAAGCTCAAATGTAAGTCACTTTGGATAAAAGCGTCTGCCAAATGAGTAAATGTAAATGTTTAGGCCCCCAAAATTGTGATTACTTTGCAGGAAATTTTTTTTCCTTCTGTTCCAATGGGGACCTCGTATGTTTCATGCTCGGTCCCTAACTAAATATATACTCTTCTCTTCCAAGTCCAGAAAACAACATTTGGATGAGCTTAAAATTAGGACACTGGATGGTACTGTTATAGAACATGTCCCATCATACAAAAACCTTGGTATTGGGCTGGATTAACACATTACTTTTATGACCGTGTTTCAACGGGACAATTTAAAGCAATGCGGAATAACCACTTTACTGACCAATGTAATTGTTACCTGTAAATTTCTGTTTGTTATTTATTTTGTTCTGTTTCTGTTTTATATTTGTATCTGTTTGTGTGCTGTACACAGAGCTCCGCTGTAAGAGAGATCCTGGTCTCAGTCTGATTCTCTGTATGAATAAAGGTGAAAGAAAAATAGTTAACTGCACTCTTCTGGGGATATAACATGTTCATATATAAATATAAATAATAAATATAAGCATAAACTTGCTAGCTTTTAACATGTACGAGTGCTGTTAGCTTTTAGTTCAAACACAGCAGTGTCTAAGTACAGCCTCTCAGAGAAGGTAGCATGGCTTTAGAACTTGTGATAAGGTTGCTTTACTGATTTAGTCAGTGTATTATTTGTTTATTCAAAGGCAGTATCTGATGGAACAGCAGGATACTCAGAAGATCTGCCGTGTGTTGGTTTATGTGTTGCAGACTGTCCGCCTGCCTGATCACAGAGGAAGGATGTGCTTCTCTGGCCTCAGCTCTGAACTTCAACCCTTCCCATCTGAGAGCTCTGGACCTGGGCTTCAATTATCCCGGAGACTCCGGAGTGAAGTTGCTGTCTGCCGGACTGGATGATCCACACTGGAGACTGGACACACTCAGGTATGAAGAGGCACAGAGATAGAGGTACAAAGAGTCAGTGATAGAGGAGGTCTTTTTGGTTAAATGTGGATATTAGATTAGATTCAACGTTATTGTCATTGCGCATGTCACTGGTACAAAGCAACGATATGCTGATAGCATCTAACCAGAAGGTCTTAAGCAGTAATTAATGATATATGATACATTAATATACAAGTGCAATATATGAATGATATAAATATAAATATGTCTACACAAATGTCTATTATTAGGTAGGTACAGGCTATGAACAGGTTATGACTATGGTAGTATGATATGAGAAACTATACAGTATGTAC